AGGAATGCCATAAACAATGGAGTGTTAACAAGTCCATTATTGGCAGAGGGGTGGAAGGGTGAAAAAAAATAAAAAAAGAAGAGAAAGACTGGGGCAGATAGACAAACAAACCAGAATTCTGATTTTTAAAACCAAAAAAAGAATGAAGCAAAATGGGGCAGGTTAATTTGAAAGAAAAAAAGAATGAAGCTATTGAGCATATAAAAATCCAACGCTTTGCTGCACCCAGCTCAGCGAGAGGGGAATTTGGCCCAAATCCACCTTTGTATCCCAGCTGTCATGTTGAAAGCTAGTTCAACGTGTTCTTCATGCAACACCAAATCTGCCCCAAATTTGGCTGCCTATTAGGGCCCTAAGAAGCTGGTGTTGCAGCTGGAGCTCATCACAACAGACCTGGTAGCTAAAAAGTGCCCCAAAAGGCAGCTCTGTTAGTTGTATGACCCCCAGAGATGCCCAGATAATGTGCCCGAGGAGCAGAAACTGCTGACTTTTCCTTTGGGAAGGGCACCAGGGCACTGCAGATCTAACCCAAGTATGTTTAGAGAAATGATTAAGTACGGCAGCAGGGTTTATTTTTAAATTAAGATGGAGGAATATAAATTTAAATTCTGAAAAAGGACTGAAACCACAAGATGAAAAGCCAGTTCTTTGGTTCTGCTGTAAGACCTGTGCTAAATTCTTGGCCAAAGGTTTTCTGGCGTGGTAGAAACTCAGCTGATTTGAGCTGAATTCAGCCTTCCTCAGTTGACTTTGGATTGTTTGAATCAGCCAGTTATAGAGCAAATACCTAATGCTGCTCCAGGCCAGAACCAAAACCTACCCCAGCAAAGGTTCAGGCTGGGGAAGCTGCCTGGACGCTGCTCCTCTAGGAGGGAACCAGGCTTTACTGATCTGGGGAAATGTTACATTAGGACTTCAATCAGGGACAAAAGGGAGGCTTGGATCCCTTCTGGCTTTATCCATGGCAGTTTGATTATTCTTTTAAATTATATATCAAGAAAACTAAAAGGTTTTCTCCAAACCCTTCAGTAGCAATACCCTCATCCTTTCACTGAAGAACTCTCTTTTTGTGCGATGGTTTGGATTAAATTCCTTTTTGTTCTTTTCAAGTCTTTCTGTTTTGAACTGAAAGCTGAGCCTCGGTGTAATTTGCAAAACACTGAGCCTGCCTGGATTTCTTAGGAAGGCAAAGAGGTGATGTCATTCACCACTCGA